TTTTTCTAAATTATGCTTTTGGACCTATTTTTCAAGGTAAGTGAGTTGTCTCCACTTCAATCTGGTATTACATTACACTACTTTAAGTCTATGACATATAATTTGTCGTTTACTCATATTGTAACACGTCAAAAACATCATGTGAAGCAAATGGTGAATTGCCTTGTTGGATAAGGTTTCTCTCTTTAATCCATTGCATATTTCTGAACTCCCTGTTTTTGACATAACGATATGTTTTCACTAAGTCCAACTCCAATGGTTGGATTAAAATTCAAAATTTAAGTTTTAAACTTACCCAAAGCTTCTCCAATCATTGGGCTAAAAAAAGGTTTTGGGTTAAAACCTATTTTCGAGCCAAATTTAACCCATAAAATGAGCCAAGGTTATGTCGCATAGTAAGAAGCAGAAAGTGGTGTCAAGGTCATCTACTGAAGCTGAGTATAGAGGAATGGCACACGAAATACGTGAAACTTCTTTGGTTACGTAAACTTTTGAGATGTCTTGGTTTTGAACCAAATTAAGGAGGCTATGACTTTACATTGCAGATCATCTGGTAGAATATGACTGTACAAACATATGAGGTTAATCAACATTTTGTCAAGGAAAACCATAAAAGGAAGATTACATCTATACCATTTGTGAATTCAAAAGAGCAGCTGGCTGATGTTCTTACTCATGGAGTAAGTAGTAAAGTTTTCCAAGACTCAATTATCAAGTTGGGCATGTATAATATCTATGCACCAACTTGAGGGAGAATGTTGATTTGAGTCTTAATTGTGAATATTCTAGGAGTCATATTTTAGGTAGGATTAGAATTTGTAATCTTTATATTTAATTTCAGTACCCTTGTAATTGCATTCCTTGTATAATAAGGAATATGTACCTATATATTGTAACCCTAGAGGATGACTAAAGTAATGAAGTATATTTACCATATTTCTTCTTAAAAGCTACGACAGCTCTAAATCTAAACCTTGTGATTCAAATAAGATAGAAAACATACCTGTAATCGATGAACTTGAAGTCGTTGTCGATTGCGATCCTTCTCTCTGTCAAAAGCTCAATGCTTAACCAATATCTTATGTGAGAGCACAGTACAAACAATCTATGTGATTCGTCTATGAGAATTCACGCATGTATGAAACTGATAATCCTTCTCAAATAAAGACCATGTATAACTCTTTACATTGGAAACTTTTCTATATCAGTAAGAACAAAATAGCGGGCCTAAAGATTTAGAGTCATGATCAAATTCCCAACATAATAGTCACCTTGCCACGGTCATAATCAGCTTTTCAAATAATAAACATTTGAAATAGAAAAGCATATTAATAAATTGATCATTAAAATATTCATGACAATATATCCGCATAAATCTATTAAAATCTATGATAAAAGTCTCATAAACTTTATTAAAATTCATGTAGGATTCAATTCAAATTCACATGAATTATATGGAAGTAAAATAAACTTTCTCAAAATTCATATTTTCATATAACTCTATGAAACTCCATCAAATTCTATATACCTCTAAGGTTGTCGGAGTTTGTTTTAATAGTTTTTCACTAAACCAATTATATACATATTTATTTATTTATTCAACAAAACAAATTTTCATTCACGAGATTAGAACTTAGGACATCTTCTATATGTCGCCAAAAAAACGATAATTATTTAACTATGTTTCGAAAACAAAGCAATACTTTAAAGAAATGGTATGGTTCACAATTCATAAATGTCTAGTCAATAGAGGAGAACCTGCTTCTTGCCTAGATATACTTAATGCTTAAATTTTTTATCCATCAACATATAGCTAGGTTGATATGTTCCTCAAGAACCCTGGATGTCCCTCTCGTAGATTAGACTTTTGTTTGTGCAATCCAGCCTTGCAAATGAAACAAGCAATCATAGGTAACTTGTGAGCTGCATTGGTTTCTAAAAGTTCGAAAGTTGCTGCCTCTCCAAATTTTATACACATATTTTAGTAGGATACTTTGTCCAAAATTTCAAAAGTGGCAATTTAAACCATTTGCAGCCTTCAATAAATCTATAATGAACCGAATTAAATAAACTCCAATAACAGATCACTAGTGCCAACAGCATATTGTTGTCTGTTTAAACAAATCTGTAGTTAGTATAAACCCAGTTGTCTAATCGACAATGATTCTTCCTCTATGGGAGTGTGGGAAAAGGAAGGAGTTGACAAGGAAAAAAGTTGTGCTGCTAATCTAAAATTATTTCCATAAAGTAGGGAAAACTTGTACTAATGCATGTTGACCTCGCAAAGTTTTTAGATGCTGCCATTTTCCTACGGCTGTTTGCCATGTTAATTAGTAGTATTTCCAGAGATGTGTGGTCAACTGTTTTAATATAAAAGAAAATCATTCCTACAAATTGTCTTGTACGTTCATAACTCTCAACAATTTGATAGATGTGCTAATGATAATTTGGTATCATAGTTTAAATTTTGTGAACAATTGGGCGATACAAAAACTTTAATGAATCCAAATTAAGTTTATTTAAAACTCTACAATTGCATGCATGCATAAACAATTGACACTAAAGTATTATGTTTTTCCTATTTGTGATTTCTCTTGCTATGTAAATTGTACATTAATCTATGCAGAACCTAAAATGTTCTAGTTATCAAATTTGCAGAAAATATTCACAACGTTAAAGAAAGAAAAAAAACAATTTAAAGGAGAGAAAGTTAAAAGAAACCTTCATACACATCACCATGCTGCATGGATGCTGCAACTTAGTGGTGCATAATGTGCTTTGGACCCTAACCTAATTCTCTATGGAGTCTCTTAGTAAGTAATTGGTGCTTTTTCTTTTTATCAAATGTATCACATTGAAACCAGGATTTATTCCTGGGCCACTTTCTGAGTGACCAACTACAAAATAATTTGGTTAACAGAAGGAGAAGCGAAAAAAATAAAAATAAAAAGTAAAAAATGAAAAAAAGAAGTTAGAACTTCTGTTTGGATAACAGCATTTGAGGTTAAAGTATTGGAATATGAGTTAATCCTAATTAAACTTCTGGTTTTAACTTGCTTGTTGCCAAAGGAAATAAACGACGATGTGACAACAGTTTTTGGGTGTTTTATCTGAGGTTAAAAAATTATTTTCAATGTTAGAGTTAAGTCAACAAACATTTCATGATATAGGAAATCTTTTGAAAAATGATTTTGATCTTAGCTGAAGAGTAAACATGAAATAGGGGGACACGTTCAGAGACCATTGATTTTGATCATGATGTATTCAACTTTGGACTTATTGTTTGGCTCCTTATATGTACGTCCTTGGTCATTTTTCTTTTCATAAGTGTTACCAGAGCATCTCCAAGAGCATTATAGCTATATTTTTCTTGATTTAGTTAGTCTTTGATTGCAAATTGTTTTCGCTAGTCAGTTTAAATTAGCATCTTACAATACTAGCTATTACGAATATTATGTAAAAGTATCACATTTTACCTATCATATTTGTATCACCTCTTTAAGGCCTGGTTTGGTACTGAGATGATTTTGAAAAAAGCTGGTATCAAAAAAAGCTGGGAGCTGTTTTTGTGTTTGGTAAACATTCAGCTTCAGTTTTTTTTCACAATTTTGGATGAAAAAAGCCAAAAACAAGAAGCTGCAAAACCTAGCTTTGAAAAACCGGCTTTTTTTTCACATCTGGTATACATAAAAGTTTACCAAACACTATAATATTATTTTTTTTTTCAAAAGCACTTTTACAAAAAAGTTTACCAAACACTCTGCTGCTTTATTTCACAACTGCTTATTCTCACAGCACAGCAGAAGTAGTTTTTTTCAAAGCACAGCAATACCAAACTAGCCCTGATAGAGATGAAAACTGCTGATATTAGTGCGCCCTATTTATGTTAGGGATGTGATACAAATGTAGGAGGGTATGGGCCAAAAAGAGGAGATAGAGTGCAACTGGTGAGTTTTAACATTATTTAATGTTTAACATTTTGCTATTAGCATAAAAATTGTTTAACGTTTTGCTAAACTATATCTCCTCTTAGCTAAATCATGCAAGTTAGCAACTATTCGCATAGCTATTTTAAGATGAAATATAACCACTCTCTTGGAGCAAGGTTTTAGTTATTTTAGGTTAAATAGCTAAGCAATGTGGTTTAGCTAGTCCCTTGGAAATGCAAAGAAAGATGGACTTCAGTAAGGGTCTAAGTAATTTTTTTTTTAATTATATATGTTTTTGGACCTATTTATTATTCAAGACGAGTGAATTCTTTCCACTTCAATCTGGCATTACAAATCCACATATAAATATGTGTGTTAACTAATTAACACTACCTTAAGTCTATGACATATACTTATGTTGTCTATCATCATATTATAACACATTAAAAACATCATGTGAAGCAAATGGTGGATCGCTTTGTTGGAGAAAGTTTTTCTCTTTAACCCTTGCACCTTTCTGACCCACTTCCTCATTTTGACATAACGTATATTTTTACCAAAGGAATGTGGAATAAATTGGTATCGAACTCGTCATTTATGAGATTTGAACATAAGACTTATCAATCAAATAGTGTCACTAGACTGTAGTACTAAATAACATTTAATTTTAGCTTAATAGTAATATCAGTGGTAATAAAATTATAAATTAGAAACGTCGCTAAAAAAATTCTAGTGATTTTGGTTGTCTTCTCTAATGAATATGAACAAAAACTCTTAAAAGGTGGGGGTTCAATTGTAGTGGAAAGTAAGAAAGTTGGCAATTGGCAAAGGTGATAGACGGAGAGATCGTTTACTTACTTTTCCCTTTGTCTCTTTCATATAACAAATCCAGGTTGGTAATCTATGCACAAATCTTTTTGGAAATATAAGTTATTACAGCATAGTGTTTGTGTATACATAAATACAATTTTATGCCAATATTATATATATATATATATATATATATATATATATATCTCCGTATCAATATTGTATAGATACAATAAAAAAAAAAGAACATAAATTTTATAAGGGGAAAGGAATACAAGTGAGAGAGATCACCTGGAGGCTGAATGGAACCCAGTTCGTCAGTTTCTTGGCTCTTTTCCACAGGTGAGATTTTTCACTAGTTTATTTCATATTTTGAAACTGAGCACTAGAATGTAGATGGGAAAAAAAAAAAAAAAAAAAAAAAAAAAAAAAAAAGAAAACTGGAACACTAGAAAATTTTTAATTGTGGTTAATGGGTATCCATCAAATCAATCATGAAAAATTCGCTAACTAATGATTGGAAAAAATATATTTTTCTTGTACAAACTTGTGTTATTCTTTCTCTCAGCAATATTCTTTTCGGTTTATGGTGTTGCTGTTGGGTTTTTGCTTTATTTCTGGCTGCTACCCACAAGCAAGAAGCATAGATTCTTCTCTCTCTCTCTCTCTCTCTCTCTCTCTCTCTCTCTCTGTGGATGTTATCTGTCTGTCTTTGTTGCAAGAGCTCTCTCTCTCTTTCTAAAGAATGGATGAATGTGCTCAACCTTGGCATGGATTCTCTCTGCTATCTTCCTACTTTTGTCCCTTTATTTACCTCTCCTTTTCATTGATGCTTTGCTTTGCTTTTTCTCCTTTTCAGTTTCGAGGCAGTTTTTGGCGTAGCTGGTATGCATTGCACACTTGTCTTAATAGTGATGAATGATGCATATTCTCACATGTTCTATTCCATTTTTCTCACTCTTCCCCCCAACCATTTGCCTATAAATACACATTCACATTCTTGGTTTTCTACATTGCAGTGCCTTCTTCTAGCTTGTTGCAATAGGCGGCCTGTTTAGCGCAGTTTACCCAAAAAACATGCAATGATGAGCTATACGCATTCTAACATGTCTTCTGGTTTGTTTCTTGCCCAGCATAGCATTAGCACTTTCATTGTCTCAATTTGTTCAAGTCTATATAGATAATAGATATTCCTATATTTCATTCAATTAGGCAACTCAATTTTCGGGTTTTCGCTGTCTTAAGTTTTGTGTTCTTATTATTGATTTCTACAGAGGGGGGAAAGGGTTGTTCTGGTTAGTTGAGGCATCTTAAACTTGTATAGTCGCTGAGTAGCCACTTTATGTTGACAAAAATTTCAGGTAGCAGAACTGCTAGAAGAATTGAGTTTGGTAGGACACATGTGGTGAGGCCCAAAGGAAGGCATCAAGCAACAATGGTCTGGCTGCATGGACTTGGGGACAACGGTTCAAGGTATTCTTGCTTTTACCCTTTTTGTTTTTGTATTCCTTCGCCCATTTTCTGAGTGATATATCATGCATTGCTGTGGTTCTGTATCCGGAAGACTTTCTCTTGAAGCCCTACTCTATCTAATTAGGGAAAGAAAACCTCAGCCGACTAATCTTGTATCACATCAGAGACGACAACATGAATAGCATAATGTTTCGTACTCAGCTGCTTGCAGCAACATTCCTCAGTTAAATAGTTAAGGTCATAATTGAATTTGAGTATCAAGCGTGATTTGTCATAACACCACCAAACTTGTCTTCCATAACTTTATCATAAGACAGATTTTTTGAATTTGGTGTTTATAACCTGACTTATCATGAACAGTCGATACAATTCTTCATTCCTTCCCTTTTGTATCAACTATATGTCCTGCACTGCAAGGATGGACTTTTTGGTTTTCGTTTAAGAGAAAAAGAAAACGTGTTCAAGAATGTCAACACCTGTACATATTCTATAATTTTACAAAGGAGGGTTCCATTATAGATCTTTTCAGCATCTTTCCGGTGAGATTATCAATCGAATAAATTCAATTAAGAGAGGAGGGCCGTGAGATTTATTGATATGATAGTTGTCCCTTTCACCTCTAATCTGATCGATGGCAAGCTTAATTTGATAAGCCTTGATTTGGGAAATAGTATATGCCAAAGTCATTGCTGGGGGGCCGCTAGTTTACTTTGTTCTCCGAGTGGGGAACCAGAAATGCACTTAATTGGTTACAAATATGCTTTCTAAGTATGGATTATTCTTGCATAATCGACACATAAACTGGTTCGGTTCCTTTTATCCTCGATACAATTGTGGACTTTTTACCACAATTGTGGTTTCGTTGCTTGTGTCGTTGCCTGTGTTGGTGCACAGGCTCCACCTGCAATTTCAGTTTTAATTTTCAGCCGTTGAATTGCATGCGTGATGAATAATCTAAGACCTAAAAAGTCTCATGTTATGCTCCTTCTGTCGGCAGCACATCTCAAATGTTGGAATCTCTACCTCTTCCAAATGTAAGCATACATGTGTATCCAACTATTTCTAAGTTAAGAATTTGTATTTCTGTTACAACTTTGTTCAACCTGTATGAAAATTAACTTTCTAACATACAATTATGAAACAGATTAAGTGGATCTGCCCAACTGCTCCTAAACGTCCTGTGGCTATGCTTGGTGGATTTGCTTGCACTGCATGTAAGATTATACTTCGGTTAGATGAAATAGTATACTTTGCACTTCTTCATATGTTGGTAATAATCTTCTGAATTATGTGATTCCTTATCAGGGTTCGCAGTTGGAGAGCTTTCAGACGATGGTCCAGATGATTGGGAGAGTTTAGATGCTTCAGCAGCGCATATTGCAAACTTGTTGTCAACTGAGCCAGCTGATGGTACGTTCAGTCCTAAACGACTAATAACTTTGTGGGATTCTTTTTCCTCCGTTTCTTACAGACCATCATCTTTAAAATCTGCACAAGTTTTCAAGAAATTATTCAGAATTTATGATGATTATTTTCATTTCTGAATGTCTGAAATGTATATCACGTTTTCTTGTGGCAGTTAAAGTCGGTATTGGAGGCTTTAGCATGGGTGCTGCAATGGCCCTTTACTCTGCAACTTGTTATGCTGCGGGTAGGTACGGAAATGGGAACCCATATCCTCTCAATCTGAGGGCAGTTGTTGGACTAAGTGGCTGGCTTCCAGGAGCGAGGTATGACTTTGTACGTGTTGATCCGAGTATCAATACCAAAAGACTTACATGTCCAATAATTAAAAGGCTTGCAACTTTGTGCAGGAGCTTACGGAACAAAATAGAAGGATCACATGAGGCTTTGAGGCGTGCCGCATCATTACCCATTTTGCAATGCCATGGAAGCAGTATGTCTCCATATAATTTTTTGCCAATACTGCAGTCTGCATTTATTTGAACGGTATCTAGGTCACTTAATATACGTCACACCAGAAGCCATTATGCTGCACAGAAGATCATCAACAATAGTATGCGAAACTGATCACATATTTTTTGTAGGTGATGATGTAGTGCCCTACAACTATGGAGAGAAATCAGTCCACTGCTTGACTTCAGCAGGATTCCGATACCTTTCGTTCAAACCCTTTGAAGGGTAAAAATATCTCAAGCAATACATTTTGTTCAAACCCTTTTAAGCAAATTTTCTAAGTATGTGGTTCGACATTGCAGGCTCGGTCACTACACTATTCCCAAAGAGATGAATGAAGTCTCCAGTTGGCTTTCTGCAAGGCTGGGGCTTGATGGGTATCGCTTGTAAATCTGACTGTTTCTGCGTGGAGCTAATGAGGAAGTAGTACGTAGCTAACAATAACGGGTGAGAAAAGCACATGTACAAGTAGGTGTTATACAAAATGGGGCATGGAGTATATGGGTATAGCTAGACTGACCTTTCTAATTCCCTTTTGTGTTCTGTTGTTTCCTACAAATAAAGTTTTGGGTGTGCTTTTTGTATTCCACTTGGAGGGAGTAGAGTGAGTAATGGTTGAATTGATACCGTCTGTGATCCATGGATCTCCGATCGGGAAACCGTATCCTAGCTCCGCGGCTGGTCTGCGCTCTTGTTTTGGTATTCGTTAATGTAATATAATTATTACTATTTTCTGAGTTCATACTTTTCCAGATACAAGCAATATTCTACACTAATTTCATTTAAACTAAGAGGAGTGTTAGTGTTTCTTGAATCAACGAAGGTTTTGATGTAGATGGAGCTGAACAGAAAGCAAAATAAACCAAGACGGAAGAAAACGAATGGTTTCTTGTTTTTCACTCTGCAGAAACTCTTGCAGAGGAATATTTCATCTCATTCCAAAAAAGAGCACTAACTTGCTTTTACATTAACTGAAGGCCCTTAACTTGGGACCACAATAACCACTACAATTCATCCTAGACACACATCTTTCTAATCTCATGGATCACTCAACACATGGCACTCATGGCCTTTTTACAAAACTAGTCATTTACACTTTGCCTCATTCTGCACAAGTGGATACACCAATTTAAACAAAACTTATTCTAAATCTTTTCAGCTCAAATACTTATAGTTCAACACTCCCCTTTAAGTTTTGAGCTGATTTCACACCAAGCATATCTCGAAGATAGTTGAACCGATCCTTAGACAAAGCCTTAGTGAATATGTCTGCCACCTGCTCATTTGTTGGACAGTACACCAAATCGATTATCCCTTCCTGGAGTGCATTCTTGATAAAATGATACCTTCTGTCAATGTGCTTGGTTTTCTGATGGAAAACAAGATTTTTAGTAATTGCAATTGCTGCTGTATTATCACAGTGTACTGGAGTCGCTTCAGTTTGCATCTGACCAAAATCTTCAAGAACAAATCTAAGCCAAATGGCTTGAGCAGTTGCTTCAGAGGCACTGATGTACTCTGCTTCTGCTGTAGAGAGTGCTACACAATTCTGCTTCACTGAGGCCCACGAGAACACTCCACTGCCAAAGGAAAATGCATAACCAGAAGTACTCTTGCTATCATCAACAGATCCACCCCAATCACTATCACAGAATCCGATTAGCATTGCATTCTTTCCCTTTACATACTCTAAACCATAGTCTAAGGTTCCCTTGATGTACCTAAGCACTCTTTTGGCTGTTCCAAGATGTTTATTTGTAGGGCAGTGCATGAATCGAGCTAGAAGACTTGCAGCATACATTATATCTGGTCGAGTTGCTGTGAGATACAGCAGACTTCCCACAATTCTTCGATACTGTTCCTCACTTGCTGAACCACTGCCATCATCTTTACATAGCTTCTCTGATGAAACTAGTGGTGTGAACACAGATTTACATTCATTCAAACCAAACTTATCTAACAAAGAGACAACATACTTCCTTTGATGGATAAATATGCTTGTGTGAGTTTGGATCACTCCCATACCAAGGAAATGATGAAGAAGCCCCAAATCTGTCATCTCATATTTTGTCATCATGTCTTCCTTGAACTCCTTCAGCATCTCAGTGCTATTCCCAGTATACACTATGTCATCCACATAGATTGAAACTATCAGAATTTCTCCTCCCCTTGCTTTGATGTAGAGAGTAGCTTCACTCTGACTTTTCACAAACCCACAGTGAGCAAAATAGGTATCAATTTCACTATACCAGGCTCTTGGCGCCTGTTTTAGACCATACAAAGCTTTATAAAGCTTGTACACCTTGTCTTCACTCCCCTTGATCACAAAACCATCTGGTTGTTCTACATAAACTTCTTCTTCGAGTACTCCATTCAGAAAAGCAGATTTCACATCTAGTTGGTATAATTTCCAACTTTTCTGAGCTGCCAAAGCAATTAGAGTCCGAATTGTATCCAGTCTAGCTACAGGTGCAAACGTTTCATTGTAATCTACACCTGGTTTCTGAGCATATCCTTTGGCTACCAGCCTTGCCTTATGCTTTTGCACTGTCCCATCGAGATTAAGCTTGGTCTTGAACACCCACTTAACCCCAATTATGGGTTTATCACTTGGTCTGTTCACCAGATCCCATGTTGCATTCTTCTCAATCATTGACAGTTCATCTTTCATAGCCTTCATCCATGCTTCATCTTTGGCTGCCTCTTCAAACTTTTCAGGTTCCATAATACAAAGGTTGCATTGTGCCAAAACATCATCTAGATTCCTCCATTTCAATGGAGTGTGATCAAAAGCTTGAGTCCTTCTTATGCTGCTGTCCACATCACTTACAGATTCATGAGAGAATGCCAGATTTGGTGACAAAGCATAATCATTTTCCTCTGAAGTTGTCTCTGATGAGATACATTTAGGCAGCACAGATAGCTCACTAGAATTAAACACAGTTACATAGTTCTCAGGAGCTGTCTTCCATTCCCAGGCTGCATTTTCATCAAACACTACGTCCCTTGAGAGTATAAGCTTTTTACTAAGAGGATCATACACTCTGTACCCCTTTTCACAGGTTGCATAACCTACAAATATGCCTTTGACACTCTTTGCATCTAGTTTCTGTCTCAACTCATTTGGTGTGTGTACATAACACAGACAACCAAAGATTCTGAGATGTGCAATTCCAGGTTTTCGACCACTGAATGCTTCAAATGGAGTTACTTCTCCAAGAGCTCTTGTAGGACACCTGTTCAATATATATACAGCTGTGAGTACAGATTCTGCCCATAAGAAATATGGTAGTCCTTTGTCATGGAGCATAGCTTTTGCCATCTCAACTACAGCTCTGTTTTTCCTCTCTACCACTCCATTCTGTTGTGGAGTATAGGCCATAGATAACTGTCTTTGAATCCCTGCATCTTCACACAGCTTGTTGAATTCACAAGATGTAAATTCACCCCCTCTGTCACTTCTCAGACATTTTATCTTAAAGCCACTTTGTAATTCCACCATGGACTTGAACTTTCGAAAACAGATCAATGCATCTGACTTGTATTTCAGGAAATAAACCCACATCATTCTTGTACAGTCATCTACAAGAAGCATGAAATATTTGTTACCCGCAAGAGAATCATTCTGCATAGGACCACACAGATCCACATGTACCAGTTCTAGAGGTTTACTAGCTCTCCATGCTTGATTCTTTGGAAACCACTCTCTATGCTGTTTTCCAAACTGACAGCCTTCACAGACTTCATCCATTTCTTCTAAAACTGGGAGACCATGCACCATTTCTTTATTCTTAAGCTGTTGAAGACCTCTAAAATGCAGATGGCCTAGTCTCTTGTGCCATATCCAAGTAGACTTAGAAATACCTGCTCTCAGTACAACCTGATCATTTGGTATCAGTGTCAAAGGATAACACCTGTTCTTTTTCATTTCAACTTTGAGAACAAGACAATCCAATGAAGGTCCATCAAAGATACTACACATCTTTCCCCCAAATAACAGATAGTAACCGTGTTCATCCATCTGCCCCACACTTAACAGATTTTCTTTCAACCCAGGTAAGTACATTACTTCTTTGACATATTTTCTGCCTTTGCTAGTGTCTATCACAAGTGTACCAAAACCTGCCACATTCATGAGTTCCCCTGTGGGCATTTGAACCTTGCCAACTACATTTGTCTTCATGTCTATCAACAACTTAGAATCCCCTGTCATATGGTTGCTACAACCACTGTCTACATACCATTCTCCATTCACTTTTGATTCAGTGATTGTGCTATTTGCATAAAACAGGTTCCCTGTCACCTCTACCTGATTAGCACAATTTGCCTTTTGCACTGATTTACCTACTGTGCACTCTCTAGCCCAGTGACCAAACCTTTCACAGTTATAGCATTTAGGTTTCCCTTTATACCTACACTCTCCAAAGTGAAACTTAGAACATACCCTGCACTGTGGTTTGGTACCTATCTGCCCCATTGACTGTGCATTATGTGCAGAATTAGCAGGAAATTTCTGCTGAAACTTAGGTTTTGAACCCCATTTCTTACCCTTATTATTCCAATTTTTCTGAAACTGAGATGAACCAGGTTGACCTTCACCCCTATTCTGCTCTTTTGGACTCACTGAGAAAGATGAGAATGCTTTCCCAGTAGTATCAACAGTATGCAGATCAAACCGTTGCTCTTGACTCTTTAAGATTGCAACTACTTCCTGCAACTCTACAGTCTCTAGACACTTTGTGTTTTCTATAACCAAACAGATAGAATCATAAGGTTTACTAAGACTGATCAACACTTTCTGCACAAGTCTCTCATTCGACAGAGATTCACCAAATGTTCTCATTTGATTAATTAACTCATTCAGCCGTGTAAGATAGCTAGATAAAGACTCATCATCTCTCATCCTAGCATATTCAAACTCTCTCCTAAGATTCTGCAGTTTCACAGATCGTACCTGATCACCACCGTGATACTCCCCGTACAACAAATCCCATGCCATCTTAGCTGACTCGGCATTGGCGATTCGTGGGAAGATCTGATCCGAGACTGCATTCTGAATGATTCCCAAAGCCTTTGCGTCTTTCATCAGAACAGCTACCATTCCTTCATCCTCCTCCGATGCTTCTCCAGCTTCCTTCTTCTTCGGATTGGAGGTTGCAATCCCCTTCTCTACCAGATTCCATAACCCAAGAGATTTGAATATCGTTGCCATTTTAATTCTCCAGAACTCGTAGTTCTCACCGGAGAAAACTGGAGTTCGCACTTCCGAGCCTCCAGATCCAGACATGTTTTGATCTGAATCGACAACTTCACCGAGCTTCAAGAGAGCTTCGATTGAGCTCAAAAATAGCTTCACAGATTTACGCCCAGATTTTAGACCCAACTAGGCTCTGAGGCCATGTTAGTGTTTCTTGAATCAACGAAGGTTTTGATGTAGATGGAGCTGAACAGAAAGCAAAATAAACCAAGACGGAAGAAAACGAATGGTTTCTTGTTTTTCACTCTGCAGAAACTCTTGCAGAGGAATATTTCATCTCATTCCAAAAAAGAGCACTAACTTGCTTTTACATTAACTGAAGGCCCTTAACTTGGGACCACAATAACCACTACAATTCATCCTAGACACACATCTTTCTAATCTCATGGATCACTCAACACATGGCACTCATGGCCTTTTTACAAAACTAGTCATTTACACTTTGCCTCATTCTGCACAAGTGGATACACCAATTTAAACAAAAC